GATGAAATTAACCTTCGAATCTTTTTTTCATGCACTTTCCTGCGAACTAAAAGTGTCTCCAACAATGAAACTTCGTTAAAGAAAACATGAATACATGTACCAAGCAATAATATAACCCCGAACGGTAAAAGTATGCATCTTGGTACACATAAAAGGCAATGTTACATCTGGAAAAAAGAAATATTTTGTCATAAAAGCCACAACTGCCTTATTTTACTAGAGGCGCTAGATGCAGCATTTAAACATTATAAACGATGACGAACATAAAGACATTATTTCCTGAAGCCTGATAATAAAATACACAACAAAAAGCCACAAAAATAATAAGCAAGTGTGGTGAAAAGATGGAGACGGCGATAACAACAATACTCACTTTTTTAATTCGTGCCCGTAGATAGTCAGTCAGCATAAACTTTATGCGTTCTATCTATAAAAAGTTATAATAAAATGAATATTTGAGGAAAGTTAAAGATGAAGAAGCCGAGCATATAAAGGGAAGAATGAGTAGACTAAAACTAGTAAACAAGTTGGTTGACCTTGTTTTCGCAACTTGGTAGTATTCTAAGAAAGACCTAGAGGAAAGAATCTTTCCGGAGTCCATAGTATGTATGCTAATTGCCAGAGTCGGACGGTGAGCTAGCTTTTCCTGATAACACAATCAAGTCGCGAAAACAAGATAAAACAACTTCTACACAACGAAAGGAGATCGCGGCCATATCATCTTGGACTTAATACTTTCGAGAAAACGAGTAGAGCTAAATTAAAATACACATTTGTAATTTATTTGGTTGTGGGAAGAACAAGTTGCCTTGGAAAAAAACGAAATTAAAATCTAGTAAGATATACTTTAGAAACTATGAAAATTATGCTCAATAATAAAAGCATAGAAATAAAACGAGACAAACCCTGTTGATGTATTGCATTAATGGATGCCAGAGAAGAAGTCCATAAATTGGCATATTATCAAAACATAAAGGTAGGAATGATACAAGATGCCCCAGGGTGTCAATAACAGAAGACGTTCACAGCTAATGTACAGTGATAATATTTACTTAGCTAATCTGTGCAGGCCTTAAGAATAAGTAAAACATTTTGGTCACAAGCGCTCAACAATATCTTATGCTTTGTTATATAGAAACGTCACCTGCAGACGTTGAAGTTGAGCCGAAGGTTCTCCTTGTGGAGTCATTTTAACCTTAGACTCGAGACGAGCAACACCTTGCTGGACTAGAGCGATCAGCTCCGGACGGGCTGGCATGAGGACTGGTGCGATTAACTCGTTCTGCCAGAGCTGAAAAGAAGAGAGGAGATTCAAAGCACGGCATGCATGTGAAGCTGGTGTCTGTGGTACCCCAGAGATACTGGCTCTCACTGTGTACGACAAATATGCTCGATAAGGGAATATATGGTTACTGCAAGAAGTAAAAAAAAAGAATAACAACCTATTATTTTGATAGAGCATAAAAGACCGCTGTTGAAGAAGCAAGACAGTTAAGGCTTGTTTAAGAGTAAATTGTAAGCATAATAGGAAAGATGGCCTTTCGCTAAGTTCACGTATAGCAGCTGTAGTAGCGAGAAGAGAGAATGAACAGTGATTGACTGATATAAAGTAGGGCGCTGGTCCTTCTGAGTTATTTAGGTCTAGGCCACGAGAGTAGTTTCACTGTATTGACGAATTAGATAACCAAATATCTACAGTAGCAGGAGAAAGTCTGATGGTATTTGAGGAAAAGCAGTAGGTAAAGAGATGCAAGCAAGACCATTGGTCTTTAAGACTGAAAAACCGTTCAGAGCTCCCAAGGCATTCAGTTGTCAGAACGATAGCATGTAATTACAGACGTAATTTTATGGCGTTAGATGACTTAGAAGAAACATGGAGTAAATGCTGGAAAATAAATGCTGAAGGATTTTTTGACGAGAATGACAAGGATATAGAGGTCTTTGTGACAAAAAATGAACTGATCCTGATTGAGCTCTTGCTCAGGCTGGTCTATCTGAAGCTATGGCGAGGATATGGGGTCTAAAACGGTTGTGATTAAGCCTAAAGCAAAGGACGAAATCATTAAACAGTATAACAACATGAAACTGCAATAAACAATTACACACATTAAAATCCTTTTCAGCAAAATATCGCTCGCAACCTCCTGTTTTTGATCCGTTTGTGCCAACTAAATGTATCATAAATCGTATGCCATGTTTTCACCCACAAATATTTCATGTTGCTTTTTCAAAGTATATTTACATTTATCATCGTTCAGAGCAGTTATGCTACATCGCAGAAATATAGGAATTCAACCTAACCAATTTGCTTACCTAATTTTAGCACACACATACACACATGCGAACACGCATAAATATAAATTCACCTACGTGAACGAAAGCCCCAACAATCCCCAGAAATTTTACCCGATAAGATAGGGATAAAATAAAGGATATTTTTGGATTAGCCTCATCGTTGCGGCCAGCATGAAGAATAGTTTTTCGAGTCCATCTCTTCATATTTTATCTGGTGCGTTTGAGAGGTTTCGCTAAAGAGGTATGCATGCCTTCGTCTTAGTTGGTAGGCCCTGAAGCTTCCATTGGATAATACATAAAAACTTAGGTTGATCATGATGATGTAAGTACAGAAAGTAGGATTATCAACGATTCAATAAGGAAAGGGCTATACAGTAGTATAAAATTTTTCTTAACTATACCGCACAGAGGTCTATATGGTCACAAAACCCCTGAAAGTAGGCTATGACATAATGATTAATGGGATGTCATGTCAACAACTCAGGGCCGATCGAAAATTGTCAAGTAGATCATGTATATTTTTTTACATCAAACAATATGCCAGATAAGAGAAAGGTGACAAAATAGAGTTAATGTCTAGTTAAAATAAGATATATTGGCATTCTTCGCATCAATGTATAGATGAATCGTCAGATGTTATGTTTATGATGTGAAACGTGTGATGCAACGCACACCGACTGAACGTCACGTCAAGTGTCGGTCTTGACTACAAGACTATCGAAAATGTGATTAAGTCAGTAGTTTTGGCACCGAATCTTTTCATATCTTCTTATTGGCAGGAGGCATACGGATTAAGTCTAGTTTGCGAATTACATGTCAGCTACTGAGTGTATACTAAACTACATGGGGCGGAGAATATAGGAAAAAAAATTGAGGGTAAAATGACACATCCAAGTAGATAAAAGGGTGCACCAAAGATATGAAGACCAAGATGATATGGCCTCTATTTAGGTCGCAGTCTTCTTTCATAGCATAGAAGTGATCGTGTTGTCAGAGCGACCAATGTGATTGCACCTAGTTCAGACTCGTAATAATTTCCAGCGTCCATGAGTTTACCAAGTCCACTATCTGGGGTTAGAAGTTATCATGACCACCAAGGGAGAGAAATCCAGGCAAGGTGCATTTATCTAGATCGGCCTGACAACACGACCAAGTTAAGAGAATGAGACCGAACCACTTATAAACAGTGAAAAAAGAGACTATTTGCTGCGACAAATTTAGCCGGCGAAATAACAGGACTACCAAAAGGCTCTAAGACGAGACAACACCGGTTTAAAAATCTATAAGTTAAATCGAAAACCGTTTTTGCCGAGGAGAAAAATACCAGGATAAAGAGGCAAAGAGATATAAATCATGTCTCACCCTCTTCATGCGAGAAATTATTTCTTTAGACGTCAGCACCTCCTCCTCAATGAGGTCACCCTCTACGTCCGAATCACCGATGATCTCATCAAGTTCAGGGGCTACTGGGGCATTATCAAAGTAGGCGTCCTGTAGGACAATAAAGATGGGAATAGTCAAATGAATACAGTAATAATATATTTGATAATAGACAAAAGAGTATATAAATACCAAGCTAACAGAGATGGGAAATAATAATGAAAAATAAGTTCCATGACAAGAGTGAAATACTAATTTTAGAAACGTTTTTTTATTAAATCAATTCTCTCGCAAGCCAGCGAACAAGACTATGAA